CACGCACGCAACTCCCGGCGGCCACCACGACGATGGACCTCATGAGTCTAATCGTAGGGCGCAATCATGCAATTATGGAAGAGCGCTCGAAATTGCGCACCAGGCGTCGTCAGCTTTTACATACGATAGAGAAGGAGCGCGAGAATGCTGTGACAAAGCAGCGCGAGACAGAGGTGCGGTGGGCACAATTCTGCGAGCAGCTGGTTGGCCTCGTGGCGGAGGAGCATGCGGTGTCGGCGCAGCGGTTTGCAGCGGCAACGGAGATAGCGAAAATGGCGGCGTTGCGGGAGCTGATAAGTCATGACAAGGAATTGTTTTGCCGGCGCCGTGAGGAAATGCAAGAGGAGGTGGAGCGGCTTAAGGGAAAGCTGCAGGCGACACTGACGCAACAGGCCGAATACGACGCACTGCAACAGAAGATTGCCTTGGAGCAGACGGCTCTGGCGCAGCAGCAGCGCCAATTGGCCATTCAACAGAGTCGTTTGGGGAGACCCCCTGCTTCTGCTGCTGCTGAGGAGGAGGGGGAGACACGGTGCCCACCCGCAAAGCGGCCACCACGCTCGGATCGCCCACTCTCGCCCGGGGAGGCCTCGCTGCGTCGCCCCGTTGAAACCCTCCAGGAGGTGACGGCCCGCGATAATATTCCCGTCCTACGAGAAAAGCCACAATGGCAGCAGCAGGGGAGGGAGGCAAGAAGAAACACACTACCCCCCAGCATGGCACGCCAGAACACAGGGAGAAGTTTTAGTCACACTTCAGTGTTCACGGAGGGGATAGGAGAAAAAGCATCCGCTGTTTAGAAGGAACAGTTATTCACGACTTTTGCCTCTTTTTTTTGCCTTATGGAGTGGGTGAATACACACACACAGACACCTACAATATATATATATATATATATATGTACGTGTGTGTGATATCCTCATGCAGAGTGACTGTATGCATTTGATTTGAAGACCAACAATTGCCCCTTTCAAGTTAACCCCCTTCGTTTTTTAATTCTGTTGTTGTTGCGGGTGCCTTTACGTTATCATAAATGCAAAAAAAAAAAAGAAAGAAAAACAAACTAAGAAGAAAAATCATTTCTGTGAGTTATGCGTTTTTTTCCTCATTTTTAATTTGGACTCTTGCCTCTTGCAACACCACAGTCTTTCCGAGGGTAGCAGTTTGTAGTAGTCCGTGGATCATGCAGCAGCCCGCGTCACTGAGCGTCAGCGCACCTCCCGCTCCTGTGATTAAACGTGCGGTACCGGTTAAGCTCACATATGAGGAGGTGCGGCGTGCGGCCATGTTTTCGGTGCTCGACGACTTTGCCTCTCAAAAGCAGTACAAGTGCCGTGTCCAGCGCCTAAAGGATGTGGGCGGCAACGTGCAGGTGATTCCCAATCCGGCCGTGGACACGGTGGAGGCCGCGCCAAAGGGGAGCTCGACAAGGCTGCTGCGAGAGCATTCCAGCGCCTCATGGAGTGTGTACTTCTACCAGTGGAGTTTGTTTGGTCTGACTAGCATCTCCTCGGTGGCAACGGCGATGGGGTTTTATCTCACCATCTACCACAACCGCATGTTCTTGCCACTCGGCCCAATGGCCGCCGCGGTGACGTGGCGTCTCTGGGATCTACTGGAGGCGGCGTGGGAGCAGCAGCGGTATATCGACAACGCCGCGCGCCTGCGTGACTCGCGCAAGGGCAATCCGATGAATTTGGTAGCGAAGCGCACTGCTTCTCAGGAGGAAGTGGAGCCGTTGGAGGAGATGATGTGAGCCACTGCAGCCGATGTTCATCAAGCAAAAAAAAAAAAGTGATCAGTGAAGAAGCCGCCGCCCTTCTCCATCAAAAGGAAGGAGGGTAGCCTTCGCCGCTGAAACTTCTGCTCGACCCCACCCCTATTTGTGTTACTAGCATTTTCTTCTTGTCACTTCTTTTTTTTTTTTTCTCCGATGTGTGTGTGTGTGCATGTGTAGTTGGGAGCCGCGGCGGCACCGCGTTGTTGCCACCGTGCGGGCCAATTGGGGTGTGAGGACGGCTTCATCATATAAGCGAAAGGGGAATGAATCAACACCTGTGAGAGAAGCGAGACGGAGCACCTTTCGTCTTCACGTTTTTTTTTTTTTTTTAATTATCACCGCTTCTTTTTTTTTTCTTCTCCTTCTGTGTTGTAGTGGCTCCTTTTTTCCTTTTCTTTATTATCGCACAATTCGTGTGCGTTTGTGTGCGGACGCTGCGTGAAGTGAGAGCGAGAGACGGGTTCAAACACACACAAAAAAGGAGAAAATGGATAAAATTGTCCGCACGGTGTACAGGCAGCTCTACAAGAAGGCTGCCAGCGTCGACAAAGACATTGCGATGCGGTCTGTTCTGACATGTTCGCCACAGCGGCTGTATGATCATCGCCGTGGGGTGTGGATTGCCTTTGACCTGGCGAAGCAGTCGGGGTGGCCGGAGTCCCGCATTTTCCTCGACAGCCTCATCCGCAAACTGAACCACGGCCGCGATTTCTTCATCCCACAGGCTGGACGCGACGCGGATGATGACGGGTGTCGTGGCGGCAGCGGTGAGGGTAATAGGAGTGGCGGCAACGATAGCGGTAGCAGCAACAGCAGCAGCGGTGCTCATGAGAATGAGGATGGCAACAAAAGCAATAAAAATAATACTCATGGCGGGGGTGAGCCGTCCCCTACGCTTCTGCAGGTTCTCCGGAAGTCTTTTGAGGAAACACCGTTTACTATCGGCCAGATGAACAATGCGTTTGCGGCACTGAAGGAACTTGCGTACGTGACAGAAATGGCATCAAAGCACTACGGGTCAGGTGTTTCGCCACCCAAGGAGTTCGATACGCTTCCAAAGCCCAAACTCACAGTTGTGGATACGGTGGGGGAGATGCATCATTTGTCTCTCACAAAAGGGCTCTCGGATGTTCTGGAACGACTCTCCGGTGAAGAAAAAGGCATGGTAAGCCGCAAATCCGAGGAGGATGTGCGCGTCAAGGAGGAAACAAAGGATGGGACAGGAAAGGGCGATGAGGACAATGATGATGACAGTGATGATGATAATTTTGGATTGTCTGGTAAGACGCCAAGAAAAAATCCTTTTGAAACACCAAAGGCGGTTCACATGCTCTTGGCACATCCGCAGCTATATGAATTTTTCCGTTACAGTGTCATGATAGTCGTTCGCTCCACCCCAAATGAGGCTGCTGCGTTTATACTCAACAAACCGCTGGAAAATGACGAGGGCATGTTGATGCAAGTTAACTCCACGATTCGTCTGAACCACGTTCATCCCATTTTGGGCAAACACCTTGGTAATCACACCGTGATGATTGGGGGTCCTGTTAGCCGCGGTTCCTTTGACTCGAGTATTCTTCTGCTCCACCGCATCCCTGATGTGGAGGATGCGATCCCAGTCTCTCAATCGCTGTGGGTGGATGGGAACTACGACGTGCTGCAGAAGAAACTCGATGATGGTACCGCCGATGCGAAGGACATTGTTGTGATTTGCGGCTTTAGTGGATGGGGAGCGGGTCAGCTTGCGGGGGAGATAAGTTCCGGCACTTGGGTTGTGGCGCGCGGCAGTGCCGACGATCCTGCGATGGACGACTTTATCTTTGCGCTTGCACGACACGCGGGGGAATCGTATTGTGGGGCACCACAACAACCATTAGAATCAGCTTCATCATCCTCGTCGTCGTCGTCGCGGAGGAAGGCCAAGAAGATGCCACAGGGTGGAGAATGCCGAATTCGGAGTGCGGCTGCGTGGGCATGGGCCTACAGCGCGCTTGGCCCACCGTACGCGGATCTCGCTCGGAACCAAAAGCCTTTTATGCAAGACCCACGAGAGAACTAGCGAAGGGGGGGAGGTGGCAAAACAACAGCAGTGGTGCGGGGACGCGGTGAGCGGAGAGGATGAATGGCTCCCTTGCCGTCTTTCTGCCTCCGTGTGTCTTAGAGGGGGGAGAAGTGGAGGGTAAACGAGGCTGGAAACAACACCAGCAACAACAACAAGAAGGGAAATGCATCATGATAATTATAACGAGAGTAGAAAAAAAAAAGGGAAGGACGAGAAGGGGCTGCGGTGGGGGGGGTGGGTTGAGGCAAACGAGGAAATGAATGACGACAGGCGGCCCACCAAAGAGAGAGAGAGAGACGAAGGGAGAAGCCTGCCCAGGGACACTTGTGAGGCGTCAATGTACACGAAAAAAGAGGCAGCGCATGCCAATTTACTCCAAGCCATTCACACACCCGCCCACACACATGCGCTCACAAATAAATGAACTTACAGGCGAAGACAAAAAAGTAAACAACTACAAAGAAGGAATACATGAGAATACCGGCGCGGACGAGACTTTTCCCTTTTTTTTTTTTTTGCTGTTGAAATTACTCCACTTTGTGCAAATATCTGAAAAATGCGTCGGTGCTTTTTTTTTCCCGCATTTTTTTTCTTTTTCGATGGAAAAGTGTGTGTGTTCGGAGTTTTGCCGTCAGTTTTCGCCCGAAGAAATGGGAGTCGACCTCACCGGAGTCCAGAAGAAGAAGCGCGTGGTGCGCCACCACACTTATTCGACGAACCCGTACATCAAACTGCTCATTAAGCTCTACAAGTTTCTCGCCCAACGCACCAACTCCGGATTCAACAAGCTCGTGCACCAGCGCCTGCTTAAGAGCCGCAGCAACCGTGCCCCAATCTCTCTGAGCCGCATCGCCGTCTGCATGAAGCGCAAGTCGGTGTGGCTGGAGAAGGGCAAGAAGGCCCCCATTGCCGTCATTGTCGGTGATGTGCTTGATGACGTCCGCATGACCCGCATCCCCGCTCTGCGTGTGTGCGCCCTTCGCTTTTCAAAGAGCGCCCGCGAACGCATCACCGGCGCCGGTGGTGAGTGCCTGACGTTTGACCAGCTCGCAATGGTGGCGCCGACAGGGAAGAACACATTCCTGCTGCGCGGACGCAAGTCTGGACGCGAATCCGTGAAGCACTTTGGAGCGGCGGGCGTGCCCGGCTCCCACGCGAAGCCCTTCACGTCGAACCGCGGAAAGGAACGCCAACGCAGCAGCGCCCGCCGTCGTGCCTTCCGCCACAAGTAAAAACAGTGGGGGGGGCTGAGAGGCAGCGGGAAGGATGCAGGAGTGAACGAGGCGCAGCCCGCTCGCACACAAATTCTCTTGGCTTTTTTTTTGTTTTTGTTGTGTTTTTCCCCTTTATTTTGTTCTTATGTGTTCTGTTTTTTTCCTCCTCATCTCCATGCATTTTCCTTCTCCCTCTTTTGAGTGCTGTTTGGTCTGGCACGACCAGGCTCTGAGGAGGGGGAAGGTGAAGTGAAGGAGTGAGGCGCGGGAGGAAACACTCAGAAGGACACAAACAAAAAGAAAAGGCGTGAAACACTTCTTACGCTTTATTTTTACATCTAATCCGAACAGACGTTTTTTTTTTTTTTTTTTTTTGCGGTTCGTTGTGCCCTCTCACGGCCGCGACTGTCCGCCTGTCGCATTCACATGGAGCGAGCTTAACACCCTCAAATGCACACATGTCCTCTTTTTTTTCCCTTTCTTTTGTTGTTTTACCTCCACACTATGTGTTTGTTTGGCGTGGCTGCATGCGTATGCACACACGTGTACAATGTGCGCAAATGTGAAGTTTCTTTCCCAAAGCGGTAACATCTCTCAAGTATGGCAGAGGAAACACCGGTCCTGGAGGTCAGTCCGGCGGTGGTTGATGCCGTCATGGATGCAACGCCGGAAAACCTCGAAGATGCCCTCCGTATTGTTCTTCAGAAGTCGCGTGAGGTGAACGGCCTTATACGCGGTCTTTCAGAGGTCGCTCGGGCCCTTGACCGCCGCACTGCACACCTCTGCGTTCTCGCCGAGGACTGCGAGGACGAGGAGTACAAGAAGCTCATCACGGCACTTGCAAAGCAGGGCGAAGTGGACCTCATCAACGTGGAAGAGCGTGAGAAGCTTGCGCAGTGGGCGGGTCTGACAAAGATGGACAGCACCGGGGAACTGAAGAAGACATTTAAGTGTTCTTGCGTGGCGGTGCGTGACTTTGGCGAGCGGACGAGAGCACTTGAGTTCCTCCTCTCTCATTTGAGGTGAGCCGAGTCGGAGTTGCGACGCCGGCGCCATCAGTGATGAGGGAGTTTAGAGGAACAGGGAGGCTGCGGTGCAATGAGCGTGGCGGGGGCAGGGGCACATATGTCTGGAGACTCTCTCGGGGGGTAGGGGGGATTTTTCTATGTTTCCTTGCATTTACACACCCATGCACCCATTTCAGCCTGCTTGCTTTTCTTTTGGGATTTTCTGTGGGAAATGAAGCTGCAATATATATTCTTTTATTTTATTTCATTTTTTTCTTTTCTTGTGTTTTCATGTCTATTGTGCATGATTTCTTGTTCCGCATCATTGCATGAACTGGGCGTCTGCCGACACTCTTTTGGCAAACTTGTTGTCTTGGCTGCATTACCACCACTCCACCTTTTTTTTTTTTTTGTTTCTTGATTTTTGCCTTTGGGGTTATTGTACGGACGCTCGCATTACACCAACGAGGCCATAAGGCTTTAGGGGACAGTGGAATTTACGGTATTAGCAGAAACGCACCCACCCACCCAAAACACGCAGCGGGAATAATTTATTACGCCGTGACGTGTTGGCATGAGTGGTGCACCGTTCATACCGGAGCTGTCGCTCGGTACCGTTGAGACGGGCGGTGGCTGGGGCGTCGGGGAGCAGTTTGCGCGGCTTCCACCGGCGTCCGTGCAGGCGGAGTCTCGGACCCCAGTCTACACGGTGGCCCCAGATAGTGGCGGCTTCAACGTCCATGACTCCGACGACGACTCCGCCACCCAGGAGGAGTCGGCGGAGGCCGAGACGATTGAAGCGGAAGTGGTGCCGACGACACATTACAGAAGACCGTCCATGGAAGACGATAACACATTTATAGATCATGGTAGCACGGTACCCCCGGCATCACCGAGTAAAGACCTTTTTGAGAAATTAGAGATGAGAGGAGACGGCGGTGATTATTCGAAGCGGGGGCCAAACTCCATACCTTCACTGCATGTGAAGTTCTTGCGTCCTGTATCCCGCATGATGGTAGGACCGCAGGTGCGGGCGATGGTAGTTGCGCCTGATGGTGCGTCCCTATGGGCTGCCTTTGGGGATGACCCAGTCACCTTGTTGGACTTTAAGGGATCGGAGTTAAATATTAGTCGAGCGCTGGACGTCACACAGGTGCACTCCATGACGGTAGTTCGTGTACCGGTGGCGAAGGCAGTGACATTTAAACCATCTCGTGGGGCGCATCGCCCCAGTTACTTTGCTGCGTCAAAACCGCAGGTGGATGAGGGGGAGGAGGTAGAAACATATGCG